TCGCGATACACCTATCGACATCACAGTCACTTCCGACGAAACCGTCATTGAGTTCGCCAAACTGACGGATGGGCTTGTTGCTGACGTTTTCAAGGTGGAGACAGGGCTGGTGATGGCTGATGAGGTGCTAAGGGCCGCAGAAGGGTCGAAAAGTGGGCCTGAACAGGCAAGTCGGTTCACTTGGCCATTGGTTACTGCGTCCGCCAATTTGCCAGAAATAGCAAGTGGAGGAGTTCGTCGAGGTCCAGAGTCAAACATATATTGAGATTGCGGCTGGCCAGCATACAATATAGCGCCCCCACTGCTGGTACGACGTGCTGTAATCGCCGATTTAAATGTGCCTGTGTCCAGATTGAGGAGTAAGAGTAAGAGCATTGAAAGTATGTAGGACCAGGAAGATAGCGGAGACAAAGAGACATATATGCAGGCGCATATATATACAAATACTCAGTTTACCCATATGTCCTGATTGATTTGAACCACCGACACCAGACTGACCAAGACCGCTTTCACTCGCTCTGTTACGGCAACCCAAAGCAGGAGCTTGAATGACGCTGGCAGAAACGCCACAGTCCATTGAAATCAGGTCATGTCGTGGATAATGCTGCTGTTGCTGTAAAATGTTTCCAGGCGGAGGCAGAGCATAAATAGCAGATGGAAGACTATTACTGACCAGACTATGAGTAGTGCAGCTGCTTCCGCGGCCACTACTTCTAGCAGTATTGAGAGAAGCCTCTCCGCCAATGTCAGCCAACGGAAAGCCGGATAGTGCAGATACTTCGCAAGATCCTAGACCAGGTCCGAAACCGAAACCGGGGCCAAAGGCACCTCCTGTACTTGTCGAGATGAAAGTATTGGCAGTGACTATAGCCGGAGATGAATCTAGAAAAGCAGAACCGTTCTGGCCTGTTGTCATCGGCCCCTTGAGGTAACGAGGTACACAGGTATCGACTGGTCCAGACAGAGCAGAAGTTGATAAGGAAGCGGAGGACAAGCCATGGCAGCCGGAATTGATGGTTGCAGTTTTTAGAGTAGCAGTTGCTGCTGCAGAGGTATTTGAGAGAGCGATGTTGGAACTGCTAACTACCGAGGTCTGACTATTGTTAAAAATACTCCCAGTGGTAGAAGCAGTGCGTCCAATGCGATGCCACTGGCTTGTAGTGCTGTGACGAGAGGTAGACTGCCCAACTCGATTTGGCACAGATTCTGTTGAGCCAGATGAGCCTGGAGAGACGTAAAAGTTGAATATAAATGCCGGAATGAGATGAATTAGAAAATGATCAGATTCTAAGATATAAGTAGGCGAAATATAAGAGAAAAAGGAAAAAAAT